TTGAGATTAAAAAGTTGAATTTGAATATATATTTGGATAGTTTTTTGAAAGTATTTCATCTGGTTAAAAGAATTATTAAAGAAAAATAACCTAAAATAGCTTTCTCATGATGCTTTTCTACAAGAAGTAGAAACCCTGCTAAACGAGTAATAAATTACAACCAAAAAATCTCTATAAAAAACCTTCCTCGTTAAATTTGAATTCGGAATAACTTTGCCCTACATTTGAAAAGGCAGATATAAAGTTCGAGGATAATTTTAACTCTATATCATGCCGACATGTATTATAAAGTAGATCACCAAACACTTTTCAAAATCCTTTACATAGTAGGTCCACCACATGAGATAACATCCACTTAACTGAATCCTTCCCTATGGACCCCTATCTAAAAAACACACTATAAACTAAGAAATTTGACTTGCTTACCACTATTCATGAATTATACTTTGTTAAATTGAGTGTTTAAATTTTAATTTTGTCGAAATTTCGACGTATATAAAAAGTATTATCACGATACCAAATTTTTGTGATCTGTAGTTAAAATTTTGACAAATGAATCAATTTAATTTAACGTGTAATTCATGAAGAAGAGCTCTAAACACAATAAGTGCTTGTTCGTCGTAATTTTTAAATTTACAAACCAGATATCATTTTTAACCATATATTTTATATATTTTTTATGACTTTTATTCACTTTTTATAGATACCCTTTATAAATTATGTAGCTCATAATCTACAAAACATGATGCATAAATAAATTAAACATATATACCACCTTTCTTAGTTTCTTACAATGTAAGTTGAAAAGGTTGGACAATATCAAGACAACGACATTAACAATTATTCTACTTTTGTTATTCTTACTTTTGTTTGTTATCGCTTTGTTTCGCTTTTATTTTACCTAGCATATTCGTATGAAAATAGAGATTTATAAGACTTGACTAGGCATCGATGTTCCTTTCGTAAAGGTTCTAAACCGACTCGAGGCTATGAAAGCATATCGAATCGGTCACGACATGACAATATGTAGAAATGTAACACTTGACAATAAGACTAGCAACTTGAATCCTTCATTTTTCTCTCTCCGTAGATCATAAGATTGCCACATTAAATGTTCTCTAAAAAGTGTTTTTAATTGACTTTATTTTCTATGAACAATGTCATTTTTCTACCTCAAGTTTCTACTTTTGAGGTGTTTGATTGATAATTTTTTTCATGAAAAATATTTTTCAACTTTTGGTTATGTGATCATATTTTCCTCAAAATCAAGAAAATCACTTTTTTTAGGAAGGATAATTTTTATTTTATAGATAATTCACACATAACCCCTCTCTCTCTCTCTTAACTATTCACTAATAAAAATTGAACAAGTATAATATTTTTAAAGGTGAAAACTAAATCAATCAAACACATTTACTTAATAATTTTCATACAAATAAATTATAGGCAATTAAATTCAATTGTCTAAAATTTATTTTCTTTATATAAAAATTACATACTCGTAATCAAACATACCCTAAATATTTCATCTTTTTATTTGGTTTCGATACTTAGGGATGGCAACGGGGCGGGGCGGGGTGCTAAGAAATTCCCCGCCCTGTCCTCGTCAAATTACCCGTTTAAGATAGGGCGGGAGTAGGTCATTTTCCCGTTTATTCCCAATTTAAATTTTTTTTTTTTATAATTTATTTTTATTGTCCATATTCATTAGATTTAGACAAATAATTTTAGTTGTTATTTTCTATTAAAACTAATGAAAATTTTCATTTAAAGTATTGAATTCTAAAAAAAAAAATTTAACGGGGACGGGTAACGGGTCAAAATTTCCCGTCCTGTTACCCGTTTAAGCTAGTTTTCCCCGCCTCGTTCGGGGCGGGCCGGGGCTTCACGAGTATCGAGTTTGTCGAATTTTTTTGTCATTCCTATCGATACTATCTAACATGGCTGTCGGTGTAAGAATGGCTACGCCTCACTAACTGGGTTTTTTTATATAGAAAAACAAATACTTCTGTTAATCAAGAGATTTGACAAAAAAAATTGAGATTAACACTTTTATTATTCGTACGTAAATAAACAATAAACATGAACAAATCTATTAGTAAAGATTATTACAAAATAAATTAAAGTATAATTCTCAATTATAAAAATCTCAAATTTGAAAATCTCGGTTGTGCCGGCTTCCCCTACTAACTACCAAAAGAACTACAAGGCAAGTCGTTTGTTGTTGTAATCATGGCCCTCATGCTTTATTTTATTTTATTTTAAGACCCAAAACAAAGACTTAATCCAACTTTGACTCTTAATAATGTTCACACGAAGAACAAATTATATAATGTTAATGATTAGTTAACAACCAATTTGGTAGTCTTTCTTGACTTCTCTTGTTAGTATTAAATTCACTACTTTCATGATTCTTCATATTCTACAAAACTCCGAAGAGAAAATGATCGCTTGTTGTTTGAAATCTGTATTGCCTACATAGTACATAGATAGGTATCTAGAACCAAAAACGAAATGCTTGAAATTATTTTAACAAAAGTCACAAAGAACTCTTAACAATTATCCACTTCAAGAATTTAAGTTAGACTATGACATACTTTTCAAGGACAAATTATAGCGTGTACCTGAGATAGGGAGAATCAATTCATTTATGAAAATACAAGATATCGAGAACTTACAACAAGCAATTTGTTTCAATATAAACCAAAACTCCAGTAAAATCTTATCGTATACTTGCTTAAATCTTATCACCAATCATTTGATTTTTACCTAACTTTTTATACTAACAATAATTGCAACGTGCCAGAAAGGCAAAAACTTTGTGATGAGTCCTGACGATCATGATCTTGTACTTGAATTGGAACACGATAAAGATACACATTTATGTGTCACGACCATTGATTTTATATGAGAGCGGAGTTAAACTTGATTTCAATTTGATTGCATCGAATCAAGATCTAGTAATGACACAAAAAGCTTTAGTTTATATAAAATAACTTAAATAAACTATTCGATATTCTTACACTATACAAGAGAATGAAAATATGGGGACCAAATCCTAAATAATAGATAATATTGGGGAAATAAAATAATATTTACAAATTTCTCCACCTTTCTAAATGAATTTCCAGACACGGCTTACACTCTCAGACACGGCTTACACACTCTATCAGTGCCATCAACACACACTAAACACGCTCTTCTTCTCACACATATAGATACAGGCATGTATATATAGATACATATATTTTCTCCGAGACACACTCCACTGTGAATACTACATTTTTGAAGCCATGGCGCGCCAATCCAAGCCCAAACAGAAGCCGTTATACACTCTCTTCTTCTTCATGATCCTTTGTGGATTCACCTACGGTCGCTTCATTACTGACAGTCCAGATCTCGTCTCTGACGGGGTTCATACACGCGCCTCCAGTTTGCCTTCCTTTATCCGCCTGTACGCGGCGGAGGAGACATGTGAACAGACATACGGGTTCATGCCGTGCACCTCTACGGCGCTGGGAAATTTGTTCCTAATTATAGTTTATGGTTACCTGATGTTCCAAGCCGCGACGTATCTCTCCACTGGTAGTGAGCTTTTGCTTGAGATTCTCGGTCCTGGAATTGTTGGTGGTCTTTTTCTCCCTATTCTCGGAGCTCTTCCTGACGCTATGCTTATTCTCGGTACTAATCAATTTTCACTATTTCATCGTATATTCACAGTTATCCCACTTTATTATTTTTTTCCAAATTATTTTGGAAAATTTATTGTGATTTACTGCTTTATCCAGTCAGATATAAAAAGAGTAAAGAAAAATTCAGGTTTAGTAGAAACTTGACACACATGGAGCGGAATAAAGAGCAGATTGTCTGAAAATTGAGTTGCGTGATACTGTATACGTACATGCACATTAATTTGTATTTGCTTTAATTAATATCATAAGTTGAAAAACAAAAAATATGAGTCTTCGGGTACAAATTCATTTCTAAGAAGCTGAAAAAAAAAATTTGACTTTTTTTTTCTTTCCTTTGTATTTAACCGCATGATATAGTAAATTAGATTAGGGAATTTGCAAACTTGATGTTCATCTTCTCCAATGTTTTAAATTTGAAAAATGTAATGAAAGATTCTCTTTATTACTTCTTCAAATGAATTTGTGCTATAAGTTTCACGATTTCGAAGGATTATCCAAAATGATTATCACGATCAATTGAGTCCAGAATATCCTGCCTACTCCTCAAAAATAAATTTTGAACTCTGGTGTTTACCATCTCGGTGCTATGTTCTCTCTTTCGGACAAAGATCTATTTTTTTCTAGCATTTGCCTCGCTTTAATCTGAAAGTTGGAAATTATACCTTGTTCTTTTCCTATTATCAGTTCCAATTTACAATCCATTTCATGCTATACATATTTTTTGGAAGTTGATAGTTTTCTTCAAATTTTTTCACCCATCATCTAGCCATCAACATTTGCACAATAGTTCTATATCTTCCTATTGCTAACTATGTCATCTTTTCAGTCTCGGGGCTATCTGGAAATGCAGAAACTGCTCAAAGCCAGGTCTCGGTTGGAATGGGTCTACTGGCTGGGTCAACAGTCATGCTTCTTACTCTAATATGGGGCACCTGTATTGTTGTTGGGAAGTGCGATATACAGAATTCTGTTGCGATAGACTCACAAGATACAAGAGGCTTCAGTTTAACTGGTTTGCATCTATGATTTCCTTAAAGACTCCCATTGTTCATTTTTGTCATCGTTTTTGGAAGGAGGAAGGTAATTCTTCTTTGTGAGGGAGGAAGATAATAATAGTACCCAAGTACTTTGACATTGTTCCTCATCTTTCTTGCATGAGTTACAAACTCAGAGGTTTCTCAACTGACTTATCCCTTCCTTCTTCCGTTTTCCTTTTTATATCTTAATTTCTTTCTATTTTTTTCCTGACCACCTTCATCATCTTCTTGTGCTTAATATTAATACTCTTATTAATAGTTAATATCCCATTCTACATATTTTCCCCACTTCGGGATGAGGCAACCCAACCCCCATTTGCAATGGATGACATGATTATTATGTAACCATGTTGTTATTCACATTTTTTATTCGATTTATTTCCTCTGAAATAGCCTTTTATTTCTATTAATTGCTAGCCACTTCTTGCAAGAACGAGCTTGGGAAGTTTTACTTTTAATGAGATGTATCTATATAACAGTTACTAGTCCATGCAGGTTCTGGTGTTTGTACTGATATCTGGACAAGTTATGCTGGCATTATCATGGCTATAAGTGTGTTACCATTTATAGTTGTCCAATTACCACAGATTCTCCATTCAAATTCAGGAAGACACTTGGCTGTCCTGATTGCTCTTATTATTTCTTTCTCATTTCTGATCTCCTATTGCCTTTACCAGGTATTTGCATATTTTAATGTTCTGGTTTGCCTATTTATCTTCGTTACTTTTCTTCAATATTATGCCCTGTTTGAGCCCCATTTTATGATAATAGATTTTGTAAAAGGTGATTTTTTTGGAGAATGTATGGTTAAAACGAATACAAAAGTTTTAGGTTCACGTACAAAATTATTTTATCGAGAGAACATGTGGGGAAAAATGAAGCTCTAAAAAATGAAGCTCAAACAGGCACTGCATTCTTAAATTGCCATTCAGTCACACATCAAAAACTTCATTAGATTAAGGTAGGAAACTTCGCTAGTATCCAAATTCACGGTGGACTAATCTGTTTGGAATATAATAAGGTGCATTTGTAGTAATACTATTGGAAAGTCCAAAATAGTTATCATAAAATTTGATTGTGAAACTCATAATAGTTTCTCTACATTTACATTATGATTGACAGCTTTGTTTACACTCTTTGACAATGTACTCAGTTTTACCATTGATTTTACCAACACGTATTCTAATCAATGACCTCGATTTTGACACTTCAAAGGGTGTCAAACTAGTTGTGTGTACAACTAGCTTAATTTAACTCATAAATCCCAAGGTTCCTCTAGATGCTAATTATTATTTTAATTCATTTTCCAAATGCATCTGGAGCGGCTTTAGCAAGCTATTAAAACAGTTTGTGGCTTTAAATGTCCTCCACCTGTGCATGCTTTAGCACTGTCTTTCTGTTCTGTGGTTCACTACTCTTTCATTTTCTTAATTTATTTTTCTTAACATTTCTTTCAAACTTTCTGTGCAGGTTTTTCAACCCTGGGTACAGAGGAGACGGCTTGCTTATGCAAAGCATAAGCATGTCATATCAGGAATCTTGAAGCATGCCTTGGGAAGGCTCTCCATTGAGGATGGAAAACCCAATGAAGAAGTGTTGACGAGGTAAAATTTTTTTTTTATTATTATATATCCAGCATTTATTACAGCTTTTGCTTTGTTTGTTGACGTCTTTCATGTTGTCTAATATGACAGGTTGTTTAAGGCAATTGATGAGAACGGCGATGGATACCTTTCCCGGACTGAATTAAGAGCATTAATTGTTGGAATCCAGTTCAATGAGATTAATTTGGATGAGAGTGAAGCCGTGGAGAAAGTGATCAAGGATTTTGATAAAAGTCTAGACTCTCAAGTTGATTTCAATGAGTTCATGACTGGAATTGAGAGATGGCTTGGAGAGGCCAGGAGTGCAAAAGTTCTAAAGCATGATGGTCCTGATACAATCAAGTATTTAGATAATTTTCACGAGGTATGTCCTTTCTGGTAAACTTCTCTGGGAGTTAACGCAGCTATTGAGATTGTGACTAATGGAAATCTTGTCACAGCAAACAAAAAGAGAACACGATCTTTTGGGTGACCAAAGTGATGAGATTGTTGAGGGCGTCGAGAATCCCAGATCGACCTCAATTAAAGCTGCTTTGTTATTGCTGCTGGGAACTATCATTGCAGCTGCATTTGCTGATCCTCTTGTAGATGCTGTTGATAATTTCTCAAGTGCTACAAGCATTCCTACTTTCTTCATCTCATTTATTGTGCTGCCATTGGCCACCAACTCCAGTGAGGCAGTGTCTGCAATTATATTCGCCAGCCGGAAAAAGTCCAGATCTGCCTCATTGACATTTTCAGAGGTTCACTTCTTTCTCAATTCTACCATATTCTTTAGACAGTAACCATGATTTGAAAGGGCAGAACCTAGACAACCATAACTATGGTATTTCTTAATGTACCTGACCTCTATATTTTTTCCTTATTGCAGTTATATGGAGCCGTAACTATGAACAATACCTTGTGCCTGTCAGTCTTCTTGGCACTTGTTTATGTAAGAGGATTGGTTTGGGACTTCTCGTCTGAAGTTTTGGTTATATTGATTGTGTGCATTGTGATGGGAGTCTTCGCCAGCATTCGCACCACTTTCCCCCTCTGGACGTCTTTCTTAGCTTTCCTGTTGTATCCTTTCTCTCTGGCCCTCGTGTATGTCCTTGACTACGTCTTTGGTTGGTCTTAGATTCATTTGGTTTCAAGCTACAAAATGTTGATTAATGTCGAAGCCATTGTTTTGGCTTTTCATCTTTACTTATTGAGACTATATCTGTTGTCTTCGCAATTACTGTTGATTATAGAAGTGAAACTATCGTAACCCTAATCCCTTTATCCAAACTTGAGACGGGATATGAAGAACACAAGCAAAGTTAGCGTAAGACGAATCATGAAGAATGATGCTTATAAGAAACTTCACATATTGGAAATATCATTGGAAGGGTTACTGGGGACAGTGGTCAACTTGCTCAATCAAGCACAATTTACTCATCCAACAAAACAAGTAAAATTAAAATTCACGTCTAAATCTCGCAGTAACTGAGGACAGTGACCAACTTCTTACAGCATATTCTGAATATGGAAAGGGTACCTTCTAAAACAACTTCCTCTTCCTGATCTTGAAACTGGAAGATCGAATAACATCGTCATCTGCTTGTAATGTTTCCCCGAGAATTTCCATGGACTCAGGTTTGGTGAAATAGGTGAACAGAAGGTAGATACCATCCAAGTAAGTGTTAGTTTCTCCTGCTTTGTTCTTCTTTCGGATGCTGTAGGCAAGTGGAATAACCCCTCTATTGAACACCTCAACGTACATGCCACCACCCGCAACTAGCAACTGCAAGGACAAATTTGATGCAGGAAAACGAGAAAAACAAGTCAAACAAGATCGATCTATATAACTAAAACTCGTCTTCTAATGAATATGGTCCCAATAACCACAGAAAAAAATTGTCCTCATTTCCGCCATTGCCTAAACAATGTTTTAAGTGTTCGACCATCGTTCTCAAATTTATCATATCAACACAACTTCCATTTTCCCTATTTCATAATTCATATGTCCCAAAGCGTAGTTACGTCTTTTTCCCTTTATTTAAACCTAGCCGTTAGTAGGAGTAGACATGTTCAAAACAGAAATGCTAGTGTTTTAGAAGTTTCCATGTGTCCTAGATACTGATAGATAAGAAATCAAAGCCGGCCGAACTGAGTGATCAGTCACCAGCCATAAATATCAAAAAGCTACATTATATAAAATAATATTGAGCTACCTCGGAGAAGATAAGTGGGGTTGTTCTCTACCTTGTATATATATTGAAAGAAATGGTACAATGGAGGGGAACTGGGGAGCGATATGGCCTTACCTCCTACCGATTACACTGGGGAGACACGGTGTGGTTCAAGAATAACCGGCTCAAAATCAGGGAAACAAATAACTTAGAGCATGTTTGGCTAAGCCTAAAAAAGAAGCAAGTTTACTTTTTTAAAAAGTAAAGAAGACCAAGCTATTAAAGAAGCTAGCTTTCGAATTAAAATTCGAAAAAAGCAGCCTATTTTAAACAAAATGCTAGCTTGTTTGGGAAGAAAAGTTGCTTAAAAGAACTTCTAAGGCTGTAACCTGTAAACATGTTTGGCTAAGCTTTAAAAGTTACTTTTAAGCTCTTATATTAAGCTTAGCCAAACGTGATCATGTAATCCAAATCTCTAATTTGTATTCCTTTATCTGCAACTACACAATGAAAATGCTCCTTCAAAGGAGTCAAATTATTGAATACACACTCAATTGTTCCCAGAACAATTCAATTCCTACATTTCAAACTGTATACTACATTTTCAGTAATTATACAAATCCCAAGCCATAATCTATGTTAATTTCAATTTATAATTCCATTATAAACAGGAAGTATACCTCCTCATACTTCTGGGTAAAGGCGAGGCGCTCATCTTCAGACATGTCGGGCCTTAGCACCACCATAGTCTCGTACTGGCGGAGGCCCGGTGGGCACTGGGGTTCCTCTTTTTCCTCAACATCCGGGAAACCCGACCCGGGTATGGCAGGCGGTGGGTCATCAGTGCCCGAAATATCTCGTTGAAATAATGAGATATCAAATTCAGCTTTAACCACCAGTCCTCTTGATCTAGCGAAGTAGTTCAAAGATTTACGGGGGTTTGTCTCCAAGAAAAACTGGGCTCTGCTAGAAAATGAAATAGTTGAATAGGAAGAAAACTGAGGGTAATTGTGGGGCAATTTGGGAACTGTGAAAGCAGAGGAAATTAGGGAAGTAGAAGAATTCGCCATTGTTTGTGTGTGTTGAGAAGCTTTAAGCAGAGGCCGTTGGAAGATATAATACTCAAGGAGAGATAGAGATAACAGAAATTTTGTGCTAAAGTTTTTTTGAAAAATAGCAACTTTACACGATTTAACAGAAGATGAGTTGGGCTTTCGGCTTTGTACATGGGCTACAAGCGCTTCGATTCAAAATCATAGGATCAACTCGTTAAGTGATTCGGACTGGACTAACGGCATGTTTGGCAAGGCTTTTCAAATGTCAAAAGTTGCTTTTGATATTAAGTGCTTGTTTGTTTTCCATTTTGGGAGAAGAAATAGAGTTTTAAATAGTATTTTTTGGAGAATGTGTGGTTAAAAAGTAAAGTAATTTTATTGGTTTATGTATAGAATATTTTATTACGTGAATATGTGGTGGAGATTGTTTACCGTACGTAGCAAACAATGTTTGATAAAATAGATGACAAACAGAGGCTAAGGATCCATTTGGTAGGATTTATTTTTGCTTCTATTTCTTGTAAAAATAATTTCGAAAAAAAAGCTACTTTAATTGTTATTTGAAAACATGCTTGTTTCCCATCATTTAAGGTGGAAATGCTTTTCTTCACCTTTTTTTTTAAAGAAATGGGTCCCACTATGAGACAAAATTGTCAAAAAGGCAGCTAATCCCTATTGCAACTGTAAGAATTTGCATTATAATGGGAAACAAACAGGCCTAGAAGAATTTCCTCTTCTTAAAAAGCTTTTAAGAGGAATTCACATTAAATCACTTCCTTCAAAAACTCTTTTAACAAGAAGTATTTTTATAAAATCAATCAAATGAGTTCAAAAGCGCTTTTAAGTTCAAAACCTCGTTTTAGTTTCTCAAAAGTCATGCCAAGCGAATCTAGAAGCAGTAGAATGATTTAATCAATTTTGTTCAGTAATTTTTTAATTGGTCGACATTATTACTATGTATTTTTTAATCTTTGTTGTTTCCTAGTTAATATTTTTGGGAAAAAAAAACAAACAAATTAAAAAAATCCATGGAGCACAATCCGCCTCTAGGTATTGGGCTATACATCGCCAATAAGAGTTAGGACAATTCAACTCACCTTCACATTAGTCACCATTAATTATAGAAAATTAAACCCCACAAATAAAAGTGGAAATTACAGGGAAGTAAGTTTTTTAAGTTTCAATTTCAAAAATCAAGTTTAAAGTTTGTTTATATAAAAATCTTTAAAACACGATTTCAAAAAAACAAAAATAGCAACTTTACACGATTTAACAGAAGATGACTTGGGCTTTCGGCTTTGTACATGGGCTACAAGCGCTTCGATTCAAAATCATAGGATCAACTCGTTAAGTGATTCGGACTGGACTAACGGCATGTTTGGCAAGGCTTTTAAAATGTCAAAAGTTGCTTTTGATATTAAGTGCTTGTTTGTTTTCCATTTTGGGAGAAAAAATAGAGTTTTAAATAGTATTTTTTGGAGAATGTGTGGTTAAAAAGTAAAGTAATTTTATTGGTTTATGTATAGAATATTTTATTACGTGAATATGTGGTGGAGATTGTTTACCGTACGTAGCAAACAATGTTTGAAAATTTGAAGTAGATATTTTAAGAGAAGAAATAGAGTTTTGAATAGTATTTTTTGGAAAATGTACAGTTGAAAAGTAAAGTAATTTTATTGGTTTGTGTGTAGAATATTTTATTGAGTGAATATGTGATGGAAATTGTTTACCGTACGTAGCAAACAATGTTTGATAAAATAGATGACAAACAGAGGCTAAGGATCCATTTGGTAGGATTTTATTTTTGCTTCTATTTCTTGTAAAAATAATTTCGAAAAAAAGCTACTTTAATTGTTATTTGAAAACTAGCTCATGCTTGTGGAAATGCTTTTCTTCACTTTTTGTTTTAAAGAAGTGGGTCACACTATGAGATAAAATTGTCAAAAAGGCAGCTAATCCCTATTGCAACTGTAAGAATTTGCATTATAATGGGAAACAAACAAGCCTAGAAGAATTTCCTCTTCTTAAAAAGCTTTTAAGAGGAATTCACATTAAATCACTTCCTTCAAAAACTCTTTTAGCAAGAAGTATTTTTATAAAATCAATCAAATGAGTTCAAAAGCGCTTTTAAGTTCAAAACCTCGTTTTAGTTTCTCAGAAGTCATGTCAAACGAATCTAGAAGCAGTAGAATCATTTTATCAATTTTGTTCAGTAATTTTTTAATTGGTCAACATTACTATGTATTTTTCAATCTTTGTTGTTTCCTAGTTAATATTTTTTGGAAAAAAAAACAAACAAATTAAAAAAATCCATGCAGCACAATCCGCCTCTAGGTATTGGGCTATACATTGCCAATAAGAGTTAGGACAATTCGACTCACCTTCACATTAGTCACCATTAATTATAGAAAATTAAACCCCACAAATAAAAGTGGAAATTACAGGGAAGTAAGTTTTTTAAGTTTCAATTTCAACAATAAAGTTTAAAGTTTGTTTATATAAAAATCAAGTGTTAATTCCACATTTTAATATTAATAATACTATTATAAAATTAAATTAATCTATATACACACCCTACCTCTATCAATACCACCAAATTTCACTCCCAAACCCTAATTATTTTCCCTTCTCTCTCTATATCTTTCCCTTCTCCATTCTTTCTCTTCGCCACACACTTCCACCGGAGGCACCATCAATGCGGCGCTCACAACGTCATTGCTGCAACAACGTCGCTCTGAAAACAACGAGCCGCAACGAAGTACGTTGTGAGTGAACTCACAATATCCTACACTCACGATGCATTTCTCGTCGCCACTGCAGCAATTGGTGGTGATTTCAGGCAGCGACGCTTTGGTTCGAAGCGATGGTTGGAGGAGGATGTGTAATGGTGGACGAAGCTAATGGATTGGCGTTCGACGGAGCTTAGAACGATGGTCTTTTATACGCTAATGTGGATTGGGGTTGCCGGCAAATGAGGAGGTATTGACGAAAGTTGGTGGTTGCTATGGGTTCATGTAGGCGGAGGTGATGAATGGCGGTGAGAGATCGAAAAAGATGGCAATTGTATGAAGCAGGGGCGGGCACTGACATTTTAGGTTAGGAGGGCACAATCAAACCCTGTACAAATCGAATATTTTGTTCTTGATTTTTGAATGATTTACACTTGACTTGATACAATACAGATTTACATTTAAAAAAACATTTTTTCATTAATAATTTGCTAATCATTTTCATCCATTTGATTTTGAAGAGTCATTTTATTAATATTTTGATCATTACAAGAAAATGTATATTTACGTTTAAAAATCGTATAATATATTTGATACAAACAATCAATTCAAATAATCGAAAGGAAAAACATATAACTAATATTCAAACTATCAATACCACCAAATTTCACTCTCAAACCCTAATTATTTTCCCTTCTCCCTTCTCTCTCTATATCTTTCCCTTCTCCATTCTTTCTCTTCACCACACACTTCCACCGGAGGCACCATCAATGCGGCGCTCACAACGTCATTGCTGCAACAACGTCGCTCTGAAAACAGCGAGCCGCAATGAAGTATGTTGTGAGTGAACTCACAATATCCTACACTCACGATGCATTTCTTGTCGCGCACTGCAGCAGTTGGTGGTGATTTCGGGCAGCGACGATTTGGTTCAAAGCGATGGTTGGAGGAAGATGTGTAATGGTGGACGAAGCGGATGGATTGGCGTTCGACGGAGCTTAGAACGATGGTCTTTTTTACGACAATGTGGAATGGGGTTGCCGGCAAATGAGGAGGTGTCGACGAAAGTTGGTGGTTGCTATGGGTTGATGTAGGCGGAGGTGACGAATGGCGGTGAGAGATCGAAAAAGATGGCAGTTGCATGAAGCAGGGGCAGGCACTAACATTTTAGGTTAGGATAGCACAATCAAACCTTGTACAAATCGAATATTTTGTTTTTGATTTTTGAATAATTTATACTTGACTTGAAACAATGCAGATTTACATTTAAAAAAATATTTCTTCATTAATAGTTTGCTAATCATTTTCATCCATTTGATTTCGAAAAGTCATTTTATTAATAATTTGGTCGTCACAAGAAAATGTATATTTACGTTTCAAAATCTTATAATATATTTAATACAAACAAGCAATTCAAGTAATTGAAAGGAAAAACATATAACTAATATTCAATACTAATAATCAATCAAATAATCACAATTCGTTAAATATAAGTCAAATTCGATCTAATGAGTTCAGACACATTCTATATACACAGTTTGATATGAGAAAATGCAAATTTAGGGTCTAATTACTTAAAAATTTGATTGGAAAGTGAAAATTTATAATAAATGTGATAATTTCTAGAGAAATTATATATAAATTTTAAAAAAAATAGAAGGATTAAGATTTTTTTAAAAGTCGTAAAGAAAAGAGTAAAAGAGAGTAAGAGAAAATAATAAAAAAACCAAATTTATTGTGATTTTGTCCCTATTTGATGGAGATTAAAATCAAATTTTTAGTAAATTTTGATAAAAATTAAACAGTTATAGATTCCATGAAATATGTTATTAAAATTAATTGTTAACTTTGATTTAGATTAAAATTTAGATTTCAATCGATACCAAACATGATTTAAAAAAAAAAAAAAACCTCAAGG